AAGATTTAAAAGATGATAAGGATATTGAAAGAGAAAGGAGGGCGCTGGCTGTCCACTGCAATATGCTCGCCCGCCGGTTCTCACGTTGTACAGTCGAGGTAAAACTTATTTTATTTAAGGCCTATTGCCAATCCCTCTATACGTGCGCCTTATGGGTCAGATTTACGCAGCGGGCATACAACACCCTACGTATACATTATAATAACGCTTTTAGATTGTTGCTGGGGCTCCCACGTTACTGTAGTGCATCAGGTATATTTGTTGACGCCCACATAGACAATTTTTCAACACTGATTCACAAAAAATCTGCGTCACTGATGCACAGGGTTCGTGGGAGCACCAACAGCATTCTTTGTACTTTTTTGAGGCACTGGATGCATGTTCATGTCCATGTATCCGTTGCCTCGGACAGGCAACCCAGATATATGAAGTAACATAACATAACATAAACACTCACGCCTGTCACCCAGAGGGGTCGGCAGAGATTATGGACTTCCATTTGGCACGATCCTGACACATCTCTCTCGCTTCCTCCACATCCATATACCCACGCATACACGCTCGTCGGTTAAAGGTACTCTTGATATGGCCCATTTTTAATATATCGCCTATTTGGTCGATAAACTTTCGCCTAGGGCGACCCTTCCCGACTATGCCGTTCACCTCTGCAACATAAATTTGCTTTGTCACTCTTTCCTCATTCATTCTTTCTACATGGCCAAACCACCGAAGCATTCCTTTCTTAATCCTGGTCACAACATCATCTTGCAAACCACACTCTTCTCTTATTAAACAATTTATCACTCTGTCATTCAGCTTCATCCCTAACATACTCCTTAATGACCGCATTTCTACAGCATTTATTCTACTCTCATGCTTCTTCTTTTTATTTAATTTCACTATCTACTTTTAAAAAATTATCGTCTGCAATAAATGATTAATTATTATTATTATATCATTAATATATTTGGGGGTCATTGTAGAAGCGTGCTCGTCGCGACCCCTGCCAGCCCTTTTCAGGGCTGCAATTCTACTCAGCTGCGCACCCATGCCAACGAGGGTTAGGGCGTCCCCCAAGGCGACGCACACCAGCTCGTCCCCGTTGGTGTGGAATGCAGCGCGCAAAGCGGCGATGGGGACCGCCACCCGTCACGCACAGCCCGACATGGCGGAAGGTGGAGGACAGAGTGCAGAGTTGGCACGTGGAATGTTAGAGGAGGCATGAGAGATAAGACGAATGAGTTGATCGAAATAATGAAAGAAAGAGAATTAGATGTCGTATGTATGTCGGAGACCAAACGGAAGGGCAGTGGTACTGAAGAGCTCCCTGGCGGGGCGTTAGCTCTATGGTCTGGAGTCCCGGAGAGCGAGAACGCCTGCCAGGGAGTGGGGGTGCTGCTGTCTTCTCGGTTGGTCGGTGTTATGACTGAATATAAAGTTGTGAACTCAAGACTTCTCTGGGTTCGCTTTAAATTGGGACTGACGAAGTTATTCCTTTCGGCTGTTTATGCGCCAGTAGCTTCGTCGTCCAGGGCTGAGCTGGAGGAGTTTTGGGAGAATATAAGAGAAGTTCTAGATTTGGCTAGGGGAAACGAAAGAATTGTTGTATGTGGTGATTTGAATGGATGGGTTGGTACCGCTCGACCAGGGTACGAGTCGGTACTTGGAAAGTTTGGCGATAAAAGGGTTAATGATGCTGGCAAGCTTATACTGGCGGTGTGCAAGGAAAAGGGTCTTCTTGTGACAAACACTATGTTTAATCACAAGAAAATCCATATGTATACTAGAGAACGAAAGAATGAGAGAAGTATGATCGATTTGTTCCTGGTGGATGACCGACTGCGAACGGACCTGGGAACGGATCACTGTCTAGTGATTACTAGATTTAGGAGTCTGTTCGCGGGTTGGCGCTACCGGACGGCAGTAACAGAACCACAGTCGGTCTGTCGCATCCGAAGCTGGAAGCTTCAGGAAGCGGATACTAGGGACAAATATCATGTGAGGGTAGCCGAAAAGCTTGACACCATCGATGGCAGAAAAGAATGTCTAGAAAGAACATGGCAGAACCTTAGGGATGGAATGGTAAGTGCAGCGGAAGAAGTGTGTGGAACAATAAAAAGAGGCAGTAGTAAAAGAAGAGATGCATGGTGGAATGATGAAGTGAAAGAAGCTGTAAAGAAGAAGAAGAAAGCATGGTTAGACTACTTGGCCTCTAGTAATGATAAGGATATGAGAAAGAAGATGAAAGAAAGATATAGGCTGCAGAAAGTTCACACGAAAGCACTGATTGAGGAAGTGCGTGAAAGGGTTAGAATGGAAGCGGACGAAAGGTTGTCGCACAACTTTAAGGAGAACTCCAAACTCCTCTGCAAAGAGCTTGGAAGGACCCGAAGTGGTGCGACGGCCTTAAGAATGAACAAAGTACTTTAGAGAACTAATGACGTCCTCTCAAAAAAAATCGGACGTCATGCAGCGATGGAGCGAATTTTAAAGAGAAATGTATGCGTGTGATGATCTTAGTGAGGGATCCGGGGATGACGCCGTGACTGGTACGCCAGACCCGGACCTCGATGACACTGAGGTCATCATTTTCTTTATAGGATAAGGGTGGCAAACGAGCACACAGTCCACCTGATAGTAAGTGGTTGCTGCGGCCCATAGACATCTACATCTATCCTCTATGACAAATCAAAATGTAAATGCGCTGTCACCCGTGAGGACTAAGATGGAATGCCTTATTTCCAGTAAAAAAGGGCCTCCGTCCACCTGCATTCACCAAGCGAAACGCAGAGTTAAACCTCTACTTCACGCTTCACGCCGGCCCATTCGTGCGACAGCAAAAGCTGCCGCGTGGCTCTACCACTGTTAAAACTTTACTATATAATATAGTATAACGCCACTAATATAGTATATTCTTATAATATTCATATACCATAATTAAAAAAATATTTCTTTAAAATATACAATATCAATGTGATAAATTCAATTATTATCATCATAGTTACTTAACGTCCTCGGCTGAACATAAGAAATAAAAATCAAGGTCCCAAGTCACATGCATCGACTTCCTTTATTTTTACCAGATCGCTACTTTATTTATCCGCCACGTCTAGGAATGTAAGCAAAACCGTTGGTCGTACGCCTGACCTCCCAGTTGTATCAAAGTGCTGTCCCATCTGACCATGACTAATAAATAAATAAATAAATAAATAAATAAATAAATGACAGTGAGGGAGTAGAGAGTGCACATGTGTTTGCAGACTAATGCCTAAAAGTATTTAATGACACGAAAAGATATTAAGATTTATAATATCTATGTTATAATAGGATAAGTTATAATCCGTGATTGTAATTTTTTAATAAAATTTCAAAATATGTTTAAAGCAAGATTAGATATTTTAACGATAAAAGTATAAAATAAATGTAAGTAAATATAAACATTATTATGTAGGTGCTTTACTGCACTATAATGTGGATGTTCGTGCGGCCTTAGAAAAAGTTCAATGAAAGAATCTAAATAAATGCAAAAACTAAAAACCACACACTAGTGCACTATAATACTGTCCTGTCCAGATGTGTTGTGACTAGCCGTCGTAACCGGAATTCGGTCTGAAGGAAATGTTTATTAAATGTAAGATATGTCACATATGATATTAAAAATATATATTGGTCGTGTTTTTTTATAGAATAAGGGTGACAAACAAGCACACAGTCCACCTGATGGTAACTGGTTGCTGTGGCCCATAGACATCTACATCTATCTTCTATCTATCAGGAAATTGTAGCGTAGAGTAGAAAAGATATGATGAAATGGAATGGTATGGAATAAAATAGAACAGAATAGGATTGAATGGAAGAGAACAGGAGAGAATAGAATATTTTTTCAATATAGATATAAGCCATATTTACTATATTTTTGAAATTTAACCAATGCACGGCTAATCCTGTTAGTGCAACGACGAAAATTGCAAAAAAAACTTTCAAGAGGGCCTCTAACATAAAATTAGAGAAGTATGCATGGCGCGTGCGTACGTGCGTGAGTACGTGTGTATGTGCGTATGTAAATGTGTAACAGTCTACCTATTTAAATTATAAGCTCACGCAACCTTTTGCTGTACTACGATAGATTCTGTTCTAATTTCAAAATAAATCAACTCTATCAACGATGAAAAACGAAAGATCTATTTCCCACGTCTGTAACACAAACATAAAATTAAATCAACACCTGCCTTTTAGTTCTAAGTCAATCATTTGCAATAAAAAAATTAAATTGAGTAAAGTTTTATTTTGGCTTTTATTTTTTGGAAAAAATCAAAGCTGTTTAAAGCTAACAACAATAAAGCATTACGTTGTCTACTTAGTAGTCTGTGACCCAGAGGGGTAGGCAAAGACTATGGACTTCCATTTGGCACGATCCTGACACACCTCCCTCGCCTCCTCCATATATATGTACCTACGCATACACGCTCGTTGGTTAAGGGTACTCTTAATTTGGCCCATTTTCAATATATCGCCAATTTAGTTGATAAACTTTTGCTTAGGGTATACTTTCCCGACTCTGCCATGCACCTTTTCAAAATTAGTCATTGGTTTATTATTTAGCGTTATATTTTCATCGCATTTGAATCTTTTTCGTTATCATTTGAATCATGTTTTACGTGGTAGAGCCATGCTGCGGCTATATTAGTAGTATAGTTGTAGCACGAATGGGTCGGCTCGACCGGAGAAGGACCACGCTCTCACAGAATACCAGCGTCAAATAGCAGCTTGCTGCTGTGTTTCGTATGGTGAGTGTAGAGAACCGGAGACCCTTTTTACTGGAAAAGAGGCATTCTATCTTAGTCCTCACGGGTGACAACGCATCTGCATTTTGATTCGCAAACGAAGATAAATGTAGATGTCTATGGGCCATAGCAACCACTTACCGTCAGGTGGACTGTGTCCTCATTTGTCACCCTATCCTATAAAAAGACCATGGATACGCTAAAATTCGAGTGATAATGGAATATGAGTTGCGTAGTGGCAGTAACGTGGCACATGCGGCACGCAAGATCAACGACGTTTACGGAGCGAATACTACAAACAAACGCACCACCTGTTATTGTTTTGCCTGCTTCCGATCTGTAAATTTCACTCTGAAAATTGAACCCCGTGGTCATCCGAAAACTTTGATTGACAATGACGAATTAAAAACGATTGTGGAAGCTGATGATGAATTAGCAGCAGCTTTCGACGTTAGAATCAAAACAATATTGGTCTACTAGCGTCAAATTGGCAAGGTAAAAAAGCTTGACAAATGAGTGCCCCACGAACTCAATGATCGCCAGCGTTAAGTACGTTTCGAGACCTACCTTACATTGTTCAACAGGCACACAAAAGAAGTAATTTTGAACTGAATTGTTACCTGCGACGAAAAATTTATTATGTTTAACAATTTCAAATGCTCAGCAAGTTGGTTGGATTCTGGTTCAGCATCTAAACCATGTACTAAACGAAAATCCCCAGAAAAATGATGGTCGCTGTTTGGCAGTCTAGCGGCGGTGTGATTAATCACAGCTTTTTACCAAACGGGATGAGCATTACTGCAAATATGTACAATGAAGAACTAAACACAAAGATGGAGAAGGTCGCACGTCTCCAAATAGCTTTGGTCAATCACTCGTCCTCGCTGCTCCTGCACGACAACGCGCGACCTTATACTGTACAACGGACAGTCTCCTAGTTACAAGAGCTGAGGTTGCAAGCTCTCCATAATCCGCCGTACTCACCTGACCTTACGCCGACAAACTACTATTCCAGAATTTGAAAAACTTTTTAAGGGAATAAAAATCAATATCCAAGGGGCAGTACAAAATGCCTTTGAAGAATTTGTTGCCTCCCGTCCAGCTGATTTCTTCAAGAAGGGGATCAATAAACTGCCACTGCGTTGGCAAAGATGCACGATTACAGGGGTGATTACTTTGTTTTATATAAATAAAGCATATGGGAAAAAATTACGTTAACTTTTTCGCAAAAAAAGGTAATTTCATAGGTAAAGATCCAATTATACACTAGAGTACTTCAAGAAATTTTACAGTGTGATTTAGCTTTAAGTTCCTCTTGTATCGCGACGCCGGCACCATCATCTTCTGTTTCTCTCTGTCCCTTCTTATAACACCCATGGTACTATATGGGGTAGTGGATATTCTTACGCCGCCAATACACGATCAATACCACTGGATCTGGGGCGAAGTCATCCATCATTGTGCTCGTCCACAAGCACGCATGATGCTCTGTAAAACCGTAGCATTCTCTAAAGGGGATAAGTCGTTGTATTGTGTCACTTTTTCCATAGAATATACGAGTAAGTAAGTCATCTCTTTAGAACAAAGTGACCTTGATGCGAGCTGATCTTTATATCAATATTATCGATCCGCCCCCACTTCGCACTGGTAGTTTCTATTTCTCGACAACAGCGCCACCTACCGCGTCCGATTGTGAATCTAAAACATCCAGGGACGCACTTAACACACACTAAAATTTCATCAAAATCGATCCAGTCGTTTAGGAGGATTTCAGTGACAAACACACGTGCAGAAGAATTACATATTTAGAATATATCAATGGTTCATATTATTACCCGCTGCTTTATATTGGTTAATGTACAAGCAGTCTAATACTGAGGCGTACATATTTATATCCCTTACGTTTGTATTCTTGTATTTAAATGTGTGTTATAAACAAATAAACAGTTTTTTCTTTCTTTATTTCTTTCATATAATTAATTTATATAATAACATTTGTTATAAAATCAAGAAGCACTCGTCTTATAACTCTAGCCGTTTACTCTGTCACCATTGTTCACCTAGAATTATTTTAAAGATACTTTTATTCCTGTTATTTTCTCTACTGTAGACATAAAGCCTATATAACCGGTATTCAACGAGAAGGAGAGTGGTTTCACTTATATTAACAACGCTTTTAGATTCTTTTTAAAGTATTTCTGTATTAAAATAAGGCATTACGAGATATTACTGCCTTATACAAAAGCTTTGTAGAAAAATCATTTTATTTGTTTCATACTGTTCTCTTTCTAGACATAATGTTGAATTTAAACACAAGTAAAACGCTTTTATATTTTTGATGTGAAACATCTATAGCTGCGGATCAGACCGACTGTTGGCGTGGTGCGTCGCCACGGCATGCGTCGCCACGCTATATGATAGTATGTATGTATGTATGTATGTAGTATGTATGTACGAAACACAGCAGCGTTAAGCTGCTATTTTACGCTGGTTTTCTGTGAGAGCGTGGTCCTTCGCCGGTCGAGCCGACCCATTCGTGCTACAACTATACCACTAATATAGCTGCAGCATGGCTCTACCACGTATAAGCTTTTCTTATCATGCTGGAATTTATTTTTAAACATTTATTATTAATACGAATTTTTAATGTTTGTGTTGAAGGAATATAAATGTTTATTAAGTAAACAGTAATCGATTTATTGAAAAAATTTTTTTTTTTTATTTTTCATCGTGCCATATTTATTTCCCGTTGCAAACTATCCTTTAATGCCTATTACCTGTACAAAATAATTTCGATGTTTTATATCTGAGAGACGTCCCGCGACGGCTCAGATTTTTTTTTGAGTGAAGTTCCTTATCGGATCGTACGTATTTGGCGGATGGGGGCTAGGCGAGAAAAAATTGTATGATTTTTCCGTCACGACTTCTGATGTAGTGTAGACGGCCTTGGTGGCTATAAGGAAGCGACATGGAATAATATCCATCACCCTCACACTTTTTATTATCTTTTCAAGACAGAAATATTATTTTATTTTAAATAGCGCTTTATTTTAATAAGCGCTAGTAATTCATTTATTTGTATTTGTTAATAACTAATATAATACGTTTATCAATGTTGCGCATACTTTAAGCGCAATAAAATAATTACGTTTGACATGATTATATCAAATTTTTTTAAAGTACATAGTTTAAATACACACAAATTTTCACTAATTAACTTATTACTATACTTCCAATTTTCCGATAATTTTATGTCGAACTTCAGTTAAAAAAAAGTCCACTTTGAAGTCATTCTATCAAATCTGGGGGTAAGATCTCATCATAACTAACAAAATGTTCCCAAAATCGGCACACCTATTACTACTCATCGAGGAGTTCCAGTAGCAGTCATCGGAAGTATACCGTTACATCACGCTTTCAGGTCCGTAGTTAAGGTCTCATCATAACTGACAAAACGATGCCAAACTCGGTACACTTAGATCTACCATTCGAGGAGTTCCAGTAGCATTCATTGAAGTACACTTTCAGGTCACTCTATCAAGTCCGGAGCTAGAGGCAGATTAAATGTCGACTGCGTCCTAGGTTACACTATCGACTCATCGGCGCCCCTCTTGGGGCCATATTATATCTGTTATAAATTAAATATACACATTTTACAAGTAAACTATATTATAATTATATTTTTATAGTTCAATAATAGCAAAATTATTAGGATACGAGTACCATTAACAGGGGGCATAAATGAAAAATGTGATGAGAGAGTAAGAGCGATTTAGGAGTAATCAAATGCGACCATTTATTTTTCATTTAAAAACTTCCGCGCGTGCCTTTTTAAACTTGCGCCCCTAGGTACGTGCTTAGTTTGCCTTAAGGATAATCCGCAACTGTCCAGAGGTAAGGACTCATTATAACTAACAAAACTCAGCATACCTATTACTATTACTACTCTTTGAGGAGTTCTAGTAGCATTCACCGAAGTACACCATCAACTTGGGGTAATTTCTCATCATAACTAACATAACGAGCATAATCTCGGCACACCTAGTTCTACTCGTCGAGGAGTTCTAGTAGCAGATATTGAATTAAACCTTCATGTCTCTAAAAAGTCCAAGACGTGTAAGTATATTTATAAATAAATCCTGTGTACTTTTAGCGAAGCAAAATATTGTAGTAAAAATCTGTGATTATAAGAATAATAATAATATCTTATCATGGTCAAGTATGTATCAAATGGGAATGCCCACCGTTCATAGACACTTCGGCCATGGGTGCCCACATATACAAGCATATGGAAATGATAATATGCAATTAAAAGAATGTTTATGCTGCCATTCGGACTTGATAAATCTAAACCTTATGCCTCTAAAACTGTTATTTTTAATGTAAAATTTAGAAAAAAATAAGTTCATCATTAACTGATCTCTCTTACAATATGCTTTTTATATAATATGTAAGTTCAAAATGATTATTAGATATGATTTCATTTTGATTTTTGGGCGCTAGTAAAACAAACCCACGCGCTTTGCACTTAAGGGTGTAAAAATTGGATCACATTAATATATCCTACCTTTGCAAAACCAGAGCAAGTCGGTAATAAAATCAATCTATAAAATGTTATCTTATTTACTTTTAATTCATATGTTTATTAACTGGGATCACACATCACATAAGCTCACTTAAGTTTTCGTATAATGATGAACGATCCGGCAATTACCTGTTAAGTGGTGAAGCCTCAAATCCCTGCTACGGTCAGCTAAAAGCCGCCATAATTTGTTGAGCTCTCAACCCGCCCGAGGTCGAACTGTAATCATTCCCAAGTGGGAAACGCTGTTCCGTTAAAGGGTTCATAATAATTTGGTCATATAAACTCGTCGTTTATAACTCTTCGTTATTAATGCCTAGCATTTTTCTTAATGAATCGTTTTAGCTTTGATTGATCGAATACTCTTTGAAAGGCCCCATAAAATATTTAAGATATTTTATTAAAAACATTGTCAATTAGCCTTTTTAATAGAAACGAGGCATTTCATGTTAGTACTCAGGGGTAACAATGCATCCATACTTTAATTCTCAATTGAAGATAAATGCAAATGTCTATGGGCTACACTTACCAACAGGTAGACAGTGTACTCATTTGTCACTATTATTCTATAAAAACAAAGAAAGATAGACGAAACTACAGGTAGAACTACGTACTATTTCTTTATCAACTCATAAAATTCAACTGCTGGAAGCATACTTATTCTAAATATTCAAGGATCATTAGGATTTCCTTATTTTCTTCAGTATATAAATGCGATATTTTATACTCAGAGCAACAATTATTGGATACGCTTCGTCTTTATCTAATCGCGTCATAAAATTGTTTAGCCTTTGCCTGCTAGAACTAATTATATTCAAGCTTAGTCCGAGATAACTTGGTAGTATAGTCTACACCTTGCTCGATGAACGCAACCTTTTAGAATAGATCTAAAACAAAA